GTAACGTTTATATTGAATGACACTTGATTTGCAATGTCCCACGACTAATCAAGGTTGGGTGACGAAATGTCTCCTTTTCGTCACGTGATGAAAATAAATGTGACGAAATAGGGTTTTTACACTTTGAGTAATTTGACGAAGTGACGAAATCAACAAAACAATAAAATAAATAAATTATTTTGTAGATTTTAAATTATGGAGTAAATAAAATTCATGATGTCAAATTCTAATTCACCAATCATCATCATATAATATGAATTTGCAAACATTAAAATTAGATAATATACCTGAAAGTTCATTTAACAATAATCAAGAATTAGCTACAGGATGTCCTGTATTTGATGTATGGTTACACTCCATTAAAATAGTAAATGAAGAATCATTTCAACAATCAGAATTATCAGATGATTCTACAGATTTTGAAGAAAGTTATGGAAACCAGCAATAGATGTGAAGAAGCAATTCCTACTAAAATTTTGTGTACAAAAATTAAGTATCCAACCAAGAAACATGATTTACAATGTTTAAAATTAAATTTTTATTTTTCATAATTTGACTTTTGACTTTACCCTTTGTCACTTTTCGTCACTTTTGTCACATTTCATCACTTTTGTCACATTTCATCACAAGTGCCCCATTTGACTAGGGTTCCTAACTGTAATTATAACTCCATATTTGAATATTCGTAAATCCAAAATTACGAATTTCAAATATTATTTCAGATACTCCTAATTATTTCAGATACTCTTAATTCGTGTTTCGCCAATCATGTGTAGAAAACTAATAATGATCTGCAGAGATAATGATCATAGTTCAATTGACAAACATTACACTACATCCAAGTTGCCAAAAAAAGATTTTATATGGATAATTGTTATGTCATACAATAGATATAAACTTGAATATTTTATAAATATAAAAAAAATTTGTTATAGCTTATTAATTTTTTTGACTTTTATATTGGGCATTGCCAGATTCAAGGTATTTTTTACATAATAAACAAACATTAAAAATATATAAATTTTAATTCGCAGATTGTTTATCAACCAGGGGATTTTAATAGAAAATGTGGGGCACGTTTACTAATTAAAAAAAATAATCGACCATGTTTGTAAAATGGTTAAAATTTATATTTCACTAAATTTGGTTTATAACTATAGAAAAAATGTCAAAAAACATGAAAATAAAAAAAAATTTGTATTTTATTATACTCAATAAAAAAAAGCTATGTAAGTAGTCAATATTGAGAAGGGTTTTTTATATATAAAATGTATGTCGATCAAAAAATTTTTATTTAATTCACGGAATTTATATATATTAATATATATATGTATATATTTACATAAATATATATTTTTATTTATTTTCAAAATAATGGCAACTACTTCTATAGTAAATCATAACAAACAAAAAAATTTTTATAAATTATTATCTTGTGGTTCTATTGTTCCAGAAATTCATTATGGTCCATTTTCTATAAATTGGTGTACCACATCAATACAAAAAAATAATGCTTTACCATATAGAATAGGAATGAAAGTGCAAGTGGAGCTATCTAATATTATCTTTTTAATGGAAATAGTTCTTAATACAGATTTAAAATCTGGCTTTAGTTGTGAGGTAGGTGAAGAATCAATTGTATGCGAAACACCTTCTGCAGCAATCAATTATATGTACAAAAAAATTACAAATAAGAAAGGAACAACATATTCTGGAAATGTTGTGTTAGGATTTGATAATTTAGAAGTAACAAATGAATTATTGAAGGATGTAGATTTTCAACCTTTCATGGTTACTTTAGAAAATATAAATATTTTTATTTTTGCAATTGGTTCAGGATGGAATGCAAATTGGGATGGTGTTGGTGAAGGATTTTGTTCATCTTTCACATCAAGATTCAAATCAGAATCATGTCATTTTGTGCAAAAGATAATTAAAAACAATTGCATAATTGAGATCTATAAAGGTGATGAATGTATAGCAAATTTTAGTGGAGCAACCCCAACAGAGGTTTGGAAAAAGACTGGAGTTTTAAAAAAATACAAAGGTGAAGAGCATTTTGGTGTTTCACATACAGTTGTGTCAAATGAATTTCAAAAATATCAACAACAACAATCAACAACTGCTACTTGTTTGCCAGAAGAGTGGAAAAATTGAGAAATTATTGATAAAATTTTTGAAGATAATCTCAAAAAAAAAATAGGTGTATCAGGGTTAAATTGGTACTCTATTTTTGATAGTTTTTATGAACAAAAAAGCTCCATAATTGAATTGACTTCATCTTTAAAAAAAATTTATCCACAAGAACATGAGTTTACTTCTCGTGAGCTTAGAGCTTGGCATACAATGATGTCAAGAGTAGGTTGTCATGATGTAACACCATATCCAAAAGAGAATTCAAAGGTATAGAACATTTATTGCTTTATGTAATTTCATATAAACAATAGAAATTTATATATCTTTGATTTTCAGTTAGAGTATTGGAGTAAATCAAAAGATCCTACATTAGATCATGAAAATTTATTGAATTTATACCAAATCGGAGTCTTGAGTAATTCAAATGAGACAAGATTTTGGGATTCATTTAGTAATCTATTGGTGCCAATGTCAGAGGAATGAATGGCAAACAAAGAATTTTGTCCATAATTGCTGATGAATTTAAATATGAAGAATTAGAATCAAAGTTAAAGGTAATTGATATAATTTTCTGATTTAATTTTCAAAAAATTTGTCATTTTATTATATTGTAATCATGTATTAGGTATCAAGAGATTTAATTACATCAGCAAGAAGATATAGTAGACTTAATGGTCCTGGTGGTATTGCATTATCCAAACCTATATTTAAAAGAAAAAAAATGATTGAAGGCAAAGAAAAACAATTTGAGGCTTTTTTTGCTGACAGGAGTAATGTAAATATGAGTTCTTATAAAGTGGGTGCAAAGAGAAATATGCCAATATTGTATCTGAGAGATCAAAAATCGGAGCTATGGAATAAATTTTTACAAGAATATCCTGATGGCATGAAAAAAACTTCCTTTATGGCCAGATTGGAAAATGGACCATTCAAATATAGAGAGGATCTTGGTGGGCTATGTTCAATATGTAACACATATGGATACCAAATTTTTGAAGATTTACTGGCCTTAGTAAAGTCAGATATTATTGATAAAAATATGCAGGTAAGTTTATCAAGTTTATTAAATAATTATTCTAAATCTTATATCATTATATTTTACTTAGAATCAATTCATTCATGAGATTGAACTTGTACAATTTCATCTTAAACGAGGATTTGAAAAACACATTCTTGTTTCAAAAGAAGGCAAAACATTACATAATGATCGCATCAATCATTGCTTACTTTATGCATTTAATGCATGCAATGAAGTACATTTATCAAGATGCAATGAGTGTGATAAAGTTTTTGATTTATTTATTAATTTGAAAAACCATATTTCAGAAACTAAACAACAGTTATTAGAAGAAAAAAAAGATTATTTGTTTTATTATTGGTCTCATCAAGCTCGTAAAGTATATTTGAATTCTCAATTTCAAGCCAATTTACTAGAAATAATAGATGATGAAGGTGCAGTTATTGTGGCAGATTACAAGATGCAAATTTTGCCAAAATCTGCAAGAGAAACAAAAGAAAGTTTCTATGGAAAAAAAGGTTGGACACTACACACAATATTAGTTTTTACTAAATCACAAAATGCTAAAGAAGAATTGGAACTGACTGCCTATGACCATTGGTCTAATGATACCAAGCAGGATGCTTGGTTCACTGCATCTTCATTTGATTGTGTATTTGAAACACTTGATCCAAAACCTAAATGGATTAAAGTTATTACTGATAATGGTCCACATTATCATTGCTCAGAACTTATGACAATAATAACAAATTGGTATGATTGGTATGGGATAGAAATTCGTGAATGGACATTTTTGGAACCAGGAGAAGCAAAGACCACTATAGATTCACACCATGCATCTGTAAGTTATCCTATATTTATTTGCATAAATTTAAAAAAAATAAAGAAATAAATATTGTTGTAGCCATCTCTATCTGAATTACTAAATAAGTGGAAATGAATTTCAAATTTTCAGATATATATTAAATTTTTACCAATTTATGTTAGATTGCTCATGCAATAAAAAGATATATTAGGATTGGTTTTGATTTGAATAGTGGTGCTGATATTGAAAATTCCTCCAAGGGTGTTCGAGGAACAAGAATAGCCAATCTACAACCAAATAGAATGGAGCATGTTAATGTTAAGACATTGTCTGGAGTTTCTAATTGGTTTAATTGGAGGTGGCCAAAAGATGGAGATTTAGCTGGATATATCCAAGTACGAGAACTACCATATATTGGTCAATGGAAAGATATTTCTCAACTCAAATTTCTAAATTAATGAAAGCATCAATTCAAAAACCAACCCCAACTAATACTCCACATTCAATTCCTAAAACTATTTGGACTATGCCACAGCTAAGGAACCCTCAAAATTATAGTTTGTATAAAATCTGTTTTTATAAAGTATTTCTTATAATGAAAATTTTTTATAAACTAATAATATTGTTATGTGAATAATTAGATAAAATATTAGTTGATGAGTTAAATACACTATCAACACTTGATTCACAATGCAAGCATAATTTTTTTTTTTTTATAATATAAATAAAATTTGAAAAAATAGTCTTATCTTATTCAATTATTAGCTCAACCACTTGAATTAACATTTGAACTTTCTAAAGGCTGGGCACTAAAAGGTAACCAGAAATATGGACAGAAAGGTGGTGGTAATCGTATGTCCATACAAATTACAAGCTTATTAGAAAGTTTCTTTCTAGCTGGAGAAGCTAACAAAACTAGAAAATATACAGCTGAAACTATGTTGGGAAAGTTAAATGGTATGGTAGAAGAAGATGAAATTGACAAAAATGAGGTTCCAAAACTCCAAACTATTCGTGGATGGATATCCACTTATGCAGCAGTATTTAAAAAGAAAAATGCTAAGAGAACATTATCAGAAATTACTTCAACTCAAATGAGTAGAAAACATAGTAATACAGAAATTTGATCAACATACATATATAAAATATCAAAAAAAACTTCTCAATATTGACTACTTACATAGCTTTTTTTTTATTGAGTATAATAAAATACAATTTTTATTTCATTTTCATGTTTTTTGACATTTTTTCCATCATAGTAAATAAAATTTAGTGAAAAATAAATTTTATATGTTGTATAACCATTTTACAAACATGGTCAATTATTTTTTTTAATTAGTAAATGTGCTGTAAATGTGCCCCGCATTTTCTATTAAAATCCCCTGGTTGATAAACGATCTGCAAATTAAATGATTAATTTGAGAACTATTCTAAATTATTATTATCATCCCATTGAGACTAAGGCTCCTCACGAGCCAGCTCACAAGCCAAATGATTTACTAAGCCTACAAGCCAGCTCGTAAGCTGAATAAGTTATCTGACTCGCAAGTCAGCTCATGAGGAGCTTTAATTGAGACTCGGGCACAATCACACAATACACGTGATAGCATATACCTGTACTTAAAATCTAAATAATAATAAACTTAGAACTCATTAGTTTACTGTCACTAATAAACTTTGGAATACTTTTTTTGTCATATCTTAATAGTAGTCAAGCACAAAAAAAAGATTTACATCATGAATTGGATAATAAGAAAAGAAGATACAGTGAAAGGTAGGTCTTATTAAATGATAATTCACATATATAAAGATTAAAGTTCTATTTATTTATAGACAAGATGATGATTCCTCTTCCTTCTCCACATTACCATTGTCATCATTTGTAAGTAAATTACATAGTATCTTCAAATTGACAATATTAAATATTCGTTTTTAGTGAATTTGATTTCAAAATTTTTTATATAGATTAAAGTAGATGATTTACTAGATGTTTTAAAGAAAACATATTTACCTTCTTGCCCATTAGAGCCTCGTGAGCTCTATGATTACCTAAAAAAATTTTATGGTGATGAAGATGGTAATGAAGCTATTGGTCAAACCACATGTAAAGAAGCACAAAGAAAACCAGAATCTGACAATAGCTTCAATAACAATAATCCCAGATTTGTCCCTTTGGAAATCTCCAATAAAATTTTGGGATATGGGGCAAATGGTAGCATAGTGTATAAGGGGAGATTTGAAGGAAAAGATGTAGCAATAAAAAGGTTATTGCTTGATTATTACAAATTGGCACATCATGAAGTATCACTACTTCAAGAAAGTGATGAACATGCCAATATCATCAGATATTATTGCACTCAACAATGTGAAAGTTTCTTGTATATTGCAATAGAACTTTGCAAAGGTTCTTTGCAGGATATGATTGAAAGAAAATTCGCATATTAACATTTTAATCCTGAGAAAATGCTGTACCAAATAATTTCTGGTGTAAATCATTTACACTCTCTCAAATTGGTTCATCAAGATTTAAAGCCCCAGAATATTTTGGTCAAAACTTCCAAAAATGGGAAAATAAGATTGCTAATTTCAGATTTTGGATTATGTAAAAAATTGGAAGGAGATTCAAGCAGTTTCAACATTAACACCAAAAATATTAGTGGCACACTTGGTTGAAGAGCTCCAGAATTATTGTTACTACCACAACAACCACCAAATAATAGAATAACAAAAGCTGTTGACATTTTCTCAGCTGGCTGTTTATTCTATTACGTAATTTCTGGAGGTGAGCATCCATTTGGGGATCGATTTTCTAGAGAAAAAAATATTATGAATGGAATGCATAGGTTAAATGGAATTGAAGAAGAAGAAAAAGATCTGATCAAAGGAATGATTAACCTTGATCAATCCAAAAGGTAAATTATTAATTTATTATAAGAACAATTTGTCATTAAAAAAACTACAATCCTCACAATATATGTGTATAGGCCAGATTCCAAAAAAGTTATGGTACATCCATACTTTTGGCCAGCATCAAAGTGTGCTGAATTTTTATCAGCTGTGTCTGATAAAATTGATGATGAGAGAAACCCATCATCCGATTTATTTAAAAAATTGGAAAAAGATGGTTGTGCTGTCTTTGATGCGGACTGGTGCAGGAGGTTGGATCAAGACTTGATATGGCACCTAAAGAAAAAAAGGACATATCAAGGAAATAGGTTCACAGACTTAATGAGAGCTATAAGAAACATGGTTTGTATATTTTTATGTGTTTATAAACTTATAAATTTCATTTAATTTTTTAATTTTTAATTTTTTAAATTTCTAGAATCACCACCACCACCAACTCCCAGGCCATTTAAGAAGGGTAGTTGGAGGTGATGAATTCCTTGAATATTTCAGAAGGAAATTTCCAAAGTTATTGCTTCACGTATACTATGTGGTGTCAAAATCATATTTAAAGAACGACACTACTTTTCAAAAATATTTTGAAATACCAAAAGAAATATGATTTTTGTTTGTTACTAAGTCAAAAATTTTGATCCAATGTGGTAAATTTATATATATTTAGCACATATATTTGGTTTTATATTTTTAAAAAGGCTCATTTCAACAAATTTTAGATCAACAAAACTGAATTTGTGGAGAAAATATATTGACAAAAATGTTAATGTGACTAAGTCAAATTTTTTGATATAATGTGGTAAATTTATATATATTCAGCATGTATGTTTAGTTTGTATTTTAAAAAGTCTCATTTCAACAAAATTTGTGGAGTAAATGTATTGGTGAAAATGGTAATGTGATTAGGTCAAAATTTTGATCTAAAGATGATTATAATATTATTCAGAATTTCATTTGGATTCTAAACGTTCAACATTAACCATTCAATATGTTCAATGAATTTTCACCTTGACAAAATTTTTTAAATTTTAGAATATTATATATACCACACACATACCTGCATAAATACATACATATACACATACATTTATATATTATTACCACTTAAACAACAAATTATTTATTAACACCAATTTCTATGCATATATAGTTCATTGAGTTTGAGAATGAAATTACTACCAATACATCAGTAACATTTATGAATAATTTTAAATTGGGAGGGTTGATGTTACGCATAAGGAAAGCAGTAATTGGAGGGCCTCTTAGTGAAGGTATGAAGTCAATTGAGAAGTTACAATCACTGCTGCCACCACCTAAACAAGCATCATCATCATCATTTTTTTTTTTGAGGGATGTCATTGTCGTCTTTACTGTCTACAGCAGGGGGTTTTTTTTTAATTAATTAAATTTAGCACAACAAATTTTGATTTAGATGTTAGATCTACATTATTATTATATGATTATAAATTATGTTTTATTATAGCTGCAACGGTTAAAGCTCAAAATGTAGCAGCAAAAATAGCAGTAGATATTGTATCAAGAAGTCAAACGTCTGTGGAATCAGTTGCTCAAGAAGAAAATATGAGTATTACCTCCAGTCAACGTTGTGCCATTATGCAAAAGTTGGCAAGACAAGATGTAAATGGATAATAATGTTAATGATAATAATAATAATAATTACAATAATGATCAATGCACAAATATTATTATTTAATTTATTTCAATAATAATTTCTTTAATCATCTCCTGTTTTGATAATTCGTAATGCGGTTGTCCCATGAAGCTCTCGAAGATGAAATTTGCGATGAATGCAACAATTATGATTTAACAATCATATATAAATTATTATTTAATGTGGTAAATTTATATATATTCATCACATATATTTGGTTCTGTATTTTTAAAAAGGCTCATCTCAACAAAATTTTGGATCAACAAAACTGAACTTGTAAAACACAAGTATGTTGTTGTACCATTTCCTACTAAACCCTTCTAACCAAAACCTTATGATATCAAAAAAGAAGATTCAAAAGATAAGAGTAAGATTGTTGACACTTCCGAAAACAATAATGAAGAAGATAGTAATACTATTGAAGACACTGGTACTGAGGTTAATGATGATGATGATTAAAAAAAAATTTTTTTCACTAAATTGATTAGTATAAGCAAAAGAAAAAACTAAAGAGAAGTTCCAGACTTTTATTGTTCAAAAGAACAAGTAAGCCAATATGAGATTAGAATATA